CATACACATTAAAGGAAAGAAAACAGAGAACTGACTGTTCTTGGTTCTCTGTCTGTCTCTCTCTCTCTCTTGGTAGCCCTTAATCTGTTTTTGAATGGACCCTCCCTCACTTGTTATTGAGAAAGGCACTAGTGTTTTGGCTCACCAGAGTGCATGAGAGATTATATAACAATTCTGTAAAACAGTCCAACTCAAGTGTCTCAACATAACACAAACCTAATAGGCAGTGTGGTCAGGACACTATTAATGGCAAACACTTATTCTGTACATTAAATAAAAGCACAGTTATGGTTTAGTTTTTAAATCCTGTGATTTGATACCATTCAAAATCGCAAGCCTAACTGTAGATTTGATGGTCACATAATCAAGACATTGAAATAGTGCAGCCATACACACTTTGTGGAATTTGGCAACTAACACGGAATTCAGAAATTTGCACATGCTGTTCCTGTAGACCTCCTGCATAATTTTACCATTGTCAAGCAGCCAGCACCAGCATCAATGCAGTGTCTCTGGTCCCCCATCACTTGTGGCTGTGCCAAAACCTCCATTCTGCAAATGTTCTCAGGTCCTGGTCACACGGGCCGGAAAATGCGCAGGGGGGGGGGGGAGAGCGTGGCTGTTAGCCCCGGAGCAAAGTAACGCGCGGCAGCCCGATCACATGTTCCATCGAGGTCCCATGGTTAGGCCGTTAGGTGCCGATCACACGGCTATCCTGTAGTGTGGCAAAGAAGCAGCGCGGCGCAATCACACCGGCAATCGCTAGGTGCCGCTTCCGTGGCAAACGGGATTTTTTCCCTTTGCTGAAGTTTGCGCATGCGCATGATCATTTGTGCGTATCCTGTGGAGACTTAAAAAAACCAAACATCCGGTTTGCAACGGGACATGGACGGGCGGCAGATGCCACAGGATTCACGCGGAAACGCGATCAGACGCTCGCCCTTGCCCCGCATTTTCTGGAAACTAGTACCTTGTATGTGGTAGTTTTTTAATCTGCATCATCAGCAAGAAGCCACGGGTTAGCCACGGGTGCGCTATGCCTCCCAGATGTTTCAGTGTGATCGCACCCGGAAAATCCGCGGGATGATCGTGCCTTCAGAGAGCCAGTTTGGTGTAGTGGTTAAGTGGGCGGACTCTAATCTGGGAGAACCAGGTTTGATTCCCCACTCCTCCACCTGCACCTGCTGATGTGACCTTGGGTCAGTCACAGGCTCTGGCACAGCTGTCCTTGAAAAAGAGCAGTTTGTGTCAGAGCTCTCTCAGCCCCACCCACCTCACAGGGTGTCTGTTGTGGGGAGGGGAAGGGAAAGGAGTTTGTAAGCCGCTCTGAGACTCCAAGTGAAGGGCGGGGTATAAATCCAATCTCTTCTTCTTCTTCAGTGCAGCAAATGCTCCGTGTGAACGGGGCCTCAGTAGCATTGGTGAGAAGTTTCCTGGTTATGTGTGAGGAAATTACTATGCTATTCTTCCCCCACCTACTATGCTGAGTTCATACTGATCACACTTTGCCAGGACAGTACTCTATATTTAGGAAATTGACTATCAACATCAGTGATCTAGAGCGATACAACTTTGAAGGTACATAGTCTTTACTTTCAGGAAAGCTTCTTGGCCATGCTGCTCCATCTTTTAAGAACACCCTGATGGATGGTAATAGCTATTTGAGTTCTCTCAGCTCTAAAATACGTTACACTTCATTTCCAAAACAAGTTACACTCTTTTGAGTCCACTGACTTAAAGAACTCTTGTACTAGACTGCTCAGTATAGCTACTCACCTAATACTTTACTCTGCATACCTATAGGATTATATTACTTGCTTTGTTCACCTTGAGAAGGTATTGGACCTGAAGAATACATTAGATTCTCGGTACATTAATATATTCATCCTAAGCAAACTTCAATGGATTTAGAAGATGTAACTTTCTTTAAAGAGGTAAAGGTTTCCCTTGCTCGAAAGGTAATCAAATCCAACTCTAGGGGGCGGTGCTCATCTCCGTTTCCAAGACGAAGAGCCAGAGCTGTCCAAAGACATTTCCGTGGTCATGTGGCCGGCATGACTAAACGCTGAGGCACATGGAACGCTATTACCTTCCCACCTAAGTGGTACCTATTTATCTACTTGCAATTTCTTGCTTTTGAACTGCTAGATTGGCAGGAGCTGGGGCCAGAGACGGGAGTTCACTCCGTCATGCGGCACTCAGGTCTCGAGCTGCCAAACTACTGATCTTCTGGTCTGCAGCTCAGCGTCTTAACCTCTGAGCCACCGCAGCTCCTTTAACTTTCTTTAGGACAACATAGAGTGTCTTGCAGTCCTGATGCTGATTCACTTGTTATAATTGCTTTCATGTAGATTAACATTTAAATATGTGATATACACCCAGCTGGTGATAGCAGTTTTGGGTAGAAATCTCTCTGCCAACTAAATGCAGCACTTTATGTATCTGATGAAGTGAGTTTTGACTCATGCAAGCTTATCAACAAAACAATAAATCACCGTGTATGAGTATACACTATAAGCAAATATTTTTATATAATGCTTTTGAAATTAAATTGTCAGCAAAATTACAACTATAACAAATTAAATGCAATCTTAGGCTTGACAGTACATATAAGACACTACAGTATAATTTTAGACAAACAACGGATATCTAGTATAAGTCCGTTTACGAATCCTTCTTCAGGTTTGTCGTCTGTATTTCTTATCTTCAAACAAATAAAGTGCTGCAAGCATTATTTCACAATGTAAATTTCATATACAGTTTTTTGTACGTTTTCACGCTTAATCATTATTTCACAATGTAAATTTCATATACAGTTTTTTGTACGTTTTCACGCTTAATCTGGTGACTGGGGAGCTCCTATCATGCTCTCATGTGACAGAGTCTACAATGTGATATTTGGCTCAGCTACCTGTATATGAAATTTACATTGTGAAATAATGATTAAGCGTGAAAACGTACAAAAAACTGTATATGAAATTTACATTGTGAAATAATGCTTGCAGCACTTTATTTGTTTGAAGATAAGAAATACAGACGACAAACCTGAAGAAGGATTCGTAAACGGACTTATACTAGATATCCGTTGTTTGTCTAAAATTATACTGTAGTGTCTTATATGTACTGTCAAGCCTAAGATTGCATTTAATTTGTTATAGTTGTAATTTTGCTGACAATTTAATTTCAAAAGCATTATATAAAAATATTTGCTTATAGTGTATACTCATACACGGTGATTTATTGTTTTGTTGGTTACATTACACCGTGGTCTTGTTTGTTATCATGCAAGCTTATGCCACAACAAAAAATATTAAGCAATATTGTGGCATATTGTATATTGCAATATATGACGCTTATCACAATTTTTTCCACATTTTGAGGCTATATGCACAATAATCTCTGTGCAGGAAATGGTAATGGCAATGTACGAAAAGGCTTCTCTATTGATTGTGACCTGGATAGCCCAGGCTAGCCAGATCTTGGAAGCTGAGCAGAGTTGCCCCCGGTCAGTATTTGGATGGGAGACCACCAAGGAGTACCAGGGTTTTGACAAAGAGGCAGGCAATGGCAAACCACCTCAGAATGTCTCTTGCCGAAAGCCCCATGATGGTGACCCCATGGAGTCACCATAAGTCAGCTATGACCTGATGGCAAAAAACAAAAAAGTGAAAACAAACATTTCTTTCTTTCTCAACTAGTTTTCTGAAGACCTGTGTCTCATCTTTCTGGAATGGTCATCTGGTGATGTCAAAACAAATGTATTTACATTATTTATAGTCCACCTTTTTCACACGGACTCAAAGCGAATCAGTACAACCAACAAAGTTTCAATATGTATATTTATATACCCTCCCAGCCTACTGTGGACTAATAAAGCTACTGTATACATAGGGCAATATTGGCCCTGCTGCCCTAGCATGCCCATTTTCCATGTTTATGAATGAGCAGCTGAAGATGCATGAGTGCCAGACATGAACAAAATGTGTTCAGGTGTACATGAGGCCTATACACATGCAACTATGAACACATGGAAATCAGGTACAGTGCCAGGGCCAACCAACATGATCCACAGCTCCTCCACCAGGTGAAGACAACTGTTAATCTGCAGAGGGCTCCTGTCGCTGTGACAGATGTGAACACAGCCTTTCTGAGTTTGAATTCTTGTTTTTCTATGGCTTGGCAAATGGGAACTACACCTACTCTTTAGTAAGAAAACTGAACTTTGTATACATGGACAATGATGCATACTTGTTAGATACCAATGCATACACATCCAATTAATAATTGTTTCTCTAAGAGACTCTTGGTACACGTAGAAATCTGTGGGTAGGAGGCCGGACTCAAAGAACAATAAAGCCTGGGCCAGAATCCCAGCAGTCTAGCTCGTTTGGGACAGTTTAAAGCAGCAGCCTCTCAACTGGGAGATCTCCAATTAGCCCTGAACAAAGTAAAACCGTACAAGCTTGTGTGTGAAACAAGCAGTTGCTGGCACGCAAGCGTTCCCAAGGTTGTGCTTCCTTTGCTTTTTCCTGAGTTTTGGCGCAGGGGAGGGAAAGGGGTCGGAGTCACATGGACACAAAAGCTTTTGATTAATGGCCAAGTGCTGCTGCTGCTGTTGGAAGCCTCCAAATCTCTCAGTTATGCAAAGCGAGCAAGGAGCCGGTGACCACTCATTTCCTTCAGGCTGGGTCTCCCTTCCTTACTGGAAAAGGACAGTCGGCGGAAAAAAAAACCTCCACTGCTTTTCGTCTTACTTCTTGAGCAGTGGGAGCGTGAGGGGAGTCAGCTGAAAAGGCTGCGAACCTCAGAATTGCAACTTCTACTATGGAACTGAGAGGGCTCTTTTGTTGTCCTCTCTGAACTTTAGTGCGTGTGTGCGTGTGTAGGAAACCCTGAGGCATTTACCAGCCTTTCTCCTGCCTGTCGCCTCACAAACAGGAGGGGAGCTGAGGAAAAGTGAGAAGTTTCTTTTTGGGGACCGGGTGGGCTGGGGTGGGACAATGACAGAAGAAAGCAAAGGTGAAGGAAAAGGAGAAAGCGGGAAGGACCTGGAGAAGCAGCTGCGCCTCAGGGTGTGCGTTTTGAATGAGCTGCTGAAGACGGAACGCGACTATGTGGGCACGCTGGAGTTTTTGGTGTCGGTGAGTTTACCCCCACCCCCCCTTCTGCTTTGCCTCAGATGCCTTTGCTGACTTTGTTGTGCACAAGCAGCCACAAAGAGGGGGAGGGTAATGCCCTGACGGAACTCAATAAATAGGGACCCGCGTGAGAAACGGCGTGAACTCCCTGCCCCTCCCCCTCTCTAAAGAAGTAAGCTGTAGCTTCAGGAGGACTTGAAAAGTACTGAGGTAGCTTGGAGGATGACTGGCTTCTGGTGACAGGAGATTTCCATATGGTGCAGAGATGATAAAGCTATCACTTAAGCGGTTTTAAAAATATCTGCCAAGGTGCTTGAGAACTTCCCACAGGCCAGATAATTTCCCTGGGCGTTAAGAAGTGCTGAATGGGGTTTGCTTCAGGTACATGCGGATTGAAGAGTGTTTGGGGTATAGTGAAGTTTTGAGTTGCAGCTCCTAAAGCGCCACAGTCTCTGTACTTAAAGTAATCACTGAAACACAGTATTCTGGCAGGGGGTTGCAGAGCCACGGGGGGGGGGTTTGCCTCATCTATAGCAGCTGTTCAATATTAAAGCCACATGTAGCATTTGCCCCTTCCTCTGTTTCCTCCCCCTGCATCCTCCAGTGCAGAAATCCTCTTTGGGTAATAATTTGTTTGATAACTGAAGGAACTACCAGTTGCTTATAAAATAATAGCACACCTGGCCATAAGGCTAATGGAGTGAGCTGAAGCAATGAGTCCTCCTGACTGTGTATTTTTTTAATGTCAGTGTTTCCTAGAGTTTAGTGGGGTTAGGTAGGAGAAGCTTTTGTATTTAGATAAAGCAACCTTCTGGAAGGCTTGAAGGCAGAACTTCCTGTGAAGCATGGTAACACAAACATCACTGCATTACTCTCCTGGCCCATTGTATCTTTTATCAGTAGCATCACTTAAGAAGCATTTGGGATAAACACATCTCAAGTTGTCTGCTTAATTTTGTGGAGTGCCTGTCATAACAGGCCTCACAGTTTTCCTCTCCTCTCCCGCCCCCCCCATCGCCATCCTGTCTGAGAGGAAAATCTTTCAAACAGCAAACTTCCTGCTTACTTTTCTGAGATCTGTGAACTTTCTGCTTATTATCATGCAAGAAAAAAATCTCAGCTTGGCTTTTGGCAGGAACAGCAATAGCTAAAGAACTGATGTAAAATATAATTCGCAAAGTAGTCTTGTCATCAATTCTTGGGTTCTGTATCACCATGAAAAAGGTATAAATGGACCAAAATAGTTTTATAAAAAAAATTAATTCATATGCTCTATTGTTTTGTCCTTCACCTTTTGTTATGCACAGAATCTGGTTGCAAGATAAGTTTTCTTCTGCAGAGCTGATATACCTGAAAACTTTCAAATGATGTTAAAAATTACATAAACCATTTAGAATAACAATCTTATTTAAAGAGCATGACACGTATTTATGAACTGTGAGATTTTGTGATTACTGATGCATAGTGGTGCAAGGACTGCTTCTTGGCTGTATTTTATGGAAAACAATCTGTGCGATAAAGGATAGTAAATGTTTAATATTTATTACAACATTGACTGACTTATTATGCATCTTTATATAATGTTATGTATTGGGAGACTGACTTGAGAAACATGTCAAAAAAGTCTCTGGTTAAGCTATTGATTTAAATGAGATTTGCATGTGTGTAAGCATGTTTTGTGTTGGAGCCTGAATTTCAGTAATGTAGTACTGGTTAAAAAGATTTGTTGTTATTGTTGTTCAGTTGCACAGTCGAGTTCGACTCCTTGTGACCTCATGGACCACATCATGCTAGACCCACCTGTCTTCCGCTGTCCTCCGGAGTTTGCTTAATTTCATGTTCGTTCCATTGATAACACTGTCTAACCATCTCATCCTTTGCTGTTCCCTTCTTCTACCTTCAATCTTTCCCAGCATCAGGGTCTTCTCCAGTGAATGCTCATTTGGTGGCCAAAGTATTTAAACTTCAGCTTCATTATCTGCCCTTCCATGGAACAGTCAGGGTTGATTTCTTTTAGGATTGACTGATTCGATCTCCTTGCAGTCCAAGGGACTCTCGTCTTCTCCAGCACCATAATTTGAAAGCATCTATTCTTCAGCGCTCGGCCCTCCTTATGGTCCAACTCTCATAGCCATACATTACTACTAGGAATACCATTGCTTTGACCATACGGATTTTTGTTGGCAGGGTGATGTCTCTACTTTTTATTATGTTGTCTAGGTTTGCCATAGCTTTCCTCCCAAGGAGCAGGCGTCTTTTAATTTCATGGCTGCAGTCACCGTCCGCAGTGATCTTGGATCCCAGGAACGTGAATTCTGTCACTGCTTCCATAACTTCCCCTTCTATTTGCCAAGGAGTGATGGGACCGGATGCCATGGTCTTAGTTTTTTTGGTGTTGAGTTTCAAGCCAACTTTTGCACTTTCCTCTTTCACTTTTAGACATGTGAGGTGGTCTGGTACTCCCATCTCTTTAAGGACTTGCTACAGCTTGTTGTGATCCACACTATCACAGGCTTTAGCATAGTCAATGAAGCAAAAGTAGATGGTTTTTTTGGTACTCCTTGCTTTCTCCATAATCCAGTGAATGTTGGCAATTTGATCTCTACTTCTTCTACCTCTTCAAAACCCAGCTTGTACTTCTGGTAGTTCTCTATCCACGTACTGCTGAAGCCTAGCTTGAAGGATCTTGAGCATGACCTTGCTAGCGTGTGAAATGAATGCAATTGTGTGATAGTTTGAACATTCCTTGGCATTGCCCTTCTTTAGGATTGGAATGTAAACTGACCTTTTCCAATCCTGTGGCCACCGTTGAACCTTCCAAATTTGCTGGCATATTGAGTGCAGCACTTTAACAGCATCATCTTTTAAGACTTTGAATAGCTCAGCTGGGATACTATCACCTCTGCTAGCTTTGTTGTTAGTAATGCTTTCTAAGGCCCATTTGACTTTGGACTCCAGGATGTCTGGCTCGAGGTCAGTGATCACACCGTCGTGGTTGTCAAGGACATTAAGGTCCTTCTTGTATAGTTCTTCTGTGTATTCTTGCCATCTTTTCCTAATTTCTTTTGCTTCTGTTAGGTCCCTACCATTTTTGTCCTTTATCATGGCCAGCTTTGAATGGAACGTTCCCTTGATTTCTCCAATTTTCTTGAAGAGATCTATAGTCCTTCCCATTCTATTGTTTTTCTCTATTACTTTACAGTGTTCATTCAGGAAGGCCTCCTTATCTCTCCTTGCTGTTCTTTGGAAATCTGCATTGTTGAGTAAATCTTTCCTTTTCACCTTTGCTTTTCACTTTCCTTTGTTCCTCAGCTATTTGTAAAGCCTCATCAGACAGTCACTTTGCTTTCTTGCATTGCTGATTGCTGCCTCTCCTGTACAATGTCACGAACCTCCGTCCATAGTTCTTCAGGCACTCTGTCCCTTAAACCTATTCTTCATCTCCACTGTATATTCATAAGGGATGTGAACTAGGTCAAACTTGAATGGCCTAGTAGTTTTCCCAACTTTCTTCACTTTAAGCCTGAATTTTGCAATGAGTAGCTCATGATCTGAGCCACAGTCAGTTCCAGCTCTTGTTTTTACTGACTGTATAGAGCTTCTCCATCTTTGACTCAAATGATATAGTCAATCTCCCATCTGGTGATGTCCATGTGTAGAGTTGCCTCTTAGGTTCTTGGAAGAGGGTTTCGCTATGACCAGTGTGTTCTCTTGACAAAACTCTGTTAACCTTTGCCTGGTTTCATTTTGTTCCCCAAGGCCAAACTTGTCCATTATTCTGGTTACCTTTTAACTTACAAAGATATTATCCTCTTAACCAGTCCCTCTCTCGTATTCCATCACTGCTTCTCTTCACTACAGAATGCTTCCTTCTTCTGGCTGACATAAAAGTCTGTATTGGTTGGGAAGGAAGGTAGTCACTCCATTACTGAAATCAAGTGGTAGAACCAGTCCATAGTTGAGACTACTGATTGTACTGACTGCTTGAACAAGACTGCAAGCTGCTTCTCCTCGCAAATTGAATCTGTAGAAACAGTAATTAGTTCTCAAGCTCGTATTCAAACTTGTGGAAAAGCAGGTTCTTGAAACATCCAATGCAGTGCTCAGGTGCTGTTGGTTAGTGATGTAGCCTATCAAGGTATTAGGATTCAGCCTGACACTAGGCTACGCTCCACCTAAAGGACCAGGTATGCAGCTTGGAAGTGATACTAGATTCAGCTATGTAGACAGACATCTGTGGCATGAAGCAACTTTGACCAACCAGTTGGCTTTCCAACTGTGGCCCTTCCAGGAAACGCACAATCTGCCCATGCTTTGATCACATCCAGATTAGATTTACCGTAACATGCTCTGTGTGAGACTCCCTCTGAAGAGTGTTCAGAAACTACAGTTGATTAGAAATACAGCAGCAGGAGTACAAAAGGTAGAAGGAACTCATCTCAAACTAGTATTTTAAGAGTTTTTAGAAATTTGTTTCCTGACACAAATAAAAGCACTAATTCTTTCTTTTAAAGCCCTAGTCTGGGGTCAGGGAATCCAAAGTCCTGAACATTTGAAAGGTTGTGCTGAGTATATCCTCACCTTTAGAGGTGAGGTGGGCAGCTAACAGAGTCAGGGCATTCTCTGTTCTGACCATTCATCTATGGAACTCCCTCCTTGAACCCAGTCACATGGTTTCTAAACTTTTGAGATTTAGCCGCAAAGTGAAATGCTTTCCCTCAGTGTCCCCTCCCCACTGTCCTGTCTTATGTGCTGTCTCTGTGTCTGTTATGTCCGCTGACCACCTCTAGGCGCCAGCGATTTACAGCAGAGCTAGACTCTCAGAGAACAATAGGGACTAGGATCCTGAAACCTCTAGTGGGCACCAATAGGAACCTTGATGGGAAGTTTAACCCCTCCAATGGGACCTGGGGGTGGGCCATGGGGATTGTATATAGTTGACTGCCTGGCCGGTATTTCTTTGTTCTGTTGTGTGTGCTAGTAAATGATGAGCTGATAATCAT